CTAAAAATTTACTAATATAATAGTTAAGTTCGATTGATTTCTATATATCTTCTTACTGGGAATTTTGCTGTCCTTTGATAATTTTTTCTTAAAATTTATAAAATTCTAGAATCTTGAGTAATTTCAAACTCATTTTTAAAAAAAAATAAACGGCCATTCCAATAATGTTTCATCTATTCCCATCGCTTCAATGGGCTTCCACAAGAGTTATTTAATAAGTTTTTTAAGGACAATTTTGAACGTTTCTAGAAGGTTCCAAATTAATTTACATATAATGCTCTAGGCAGTAAACATAGTTATACATTTTTCATGTATTATTCGACATTTGCCATAATATTTCCTTATCATAGAATAATTTAAAGTAGGACCAATGAAACAAGGAATGAGATCCCCCCGTGGAATGAGAGGCAGACTTGGAATATGATGCCACTGGAGAAAGGGAACTTCCGGTTAGATGGGATTAGTGTACATGTTTTTTTTATGAGGAATATTTCTTTGACTATTACATTATTAGTCAAGTAAATCCTCAACAAACTGTGATGTATAATCTAAAATGTCACCATTGCTGGTAAAGGGATGAGCCAAAAGTCACTGTCTTCAAAATGCTTGGCTAATGATGTGATTTCGGGGTTTGTACTGCATTGTTGATATTCGACGCCATTTTTGTTACCACTTCCTGTCTTACTTGAAGCGTAGCAAAACTCTATTGCTGTGTGTGCTCTCAGACTGAAACACACGGAGTGACTTGTGGTATGTTCAAATACAATATTACACTATATACAATTGTGGTAACGGCTCTGGTAAATAAATTGTTCATTTTTGATGCCGAGAGACCAGAAATAGGCCTTATATTTGACAATTTGGACTTCAGTAGGAAGACAGTTTTCCGCATAGCTGGTACTGCTCACTGTGTGTTTATAGACATTTTACATAGAGCATCCCGATCATGCTCTACTCAGAGGCCCTTAGGCCGTCAAAAACTGATACTATTGTATCTGGCCTGCATCCTCCTGGCAAATTCGTACTGCCAGATTAACCAGTCTGTGTTTGACCCACATAGTGCAGGGACAGACTCTACCTTCCCAGATTTCTCTCTGAACCACTCAATCTCCACACCAAGAGACATTCGAAGTTTTCAACCAACACACTGCTCTACTCCTATGCGCTGCAGTCAACAAGACAAATGGAGACACAGGCCATTGCGCATATTGAATGTAAACTTCCAGTCTGCAAGTGGTAAGCGAGTAGAGATAGCTAACCTAATTAACAGCCTAAAACCCGACATCA